GGATTAATTGCTGTAAGACGCATTGGCCCCTAATTACCAATTATCTTAAATGCCTATTTATTGGTAAATGTTGCTGTATAGCTGTATATGCTTTTAGTAATTTTTTTCCGGACAATTTTATGTCTTAAATTTTTGCTTTTAATTAAACAATACCATGTTTACATTTTTAGACGTATGATTGATATTCTTTAAATAACACCCTCAAACATACAGACATAAATTATTCAATCATCATGAAAGGCATTCTTTTCATGTTGCAAACATTAATGCTGTTAGACAAATATGAAGTGCAATGTCAACATATTCTAATACATTTACAATATTTTACTTTGTACTAGATACAATATATTTTAATTCATAAAATTAATGTGCATTACCAGGCAATGCTATAAGCTGAGTTGAAATTACTTTTCCTTTCCTCTATTTCATTTTAACTATATTATTGCCATTCTTATTTTCCGGCTTTTTTGCAACTGTTCTGGTGTCTTAATTGGTTAGAGCGTCCGCCTAGGATTAGAACCTCGGCCGAGTCATACCAGAGACTTTAAAACATGGTACAAGCAGCTGCCTCGCTAGGCTCTCAACAGTAAGAGGTTATTGTTAGGACTGGTTGGCCTGGTGACAGGATAATGTGACTTCGTGGAACATGATGATACATGTCTGCGGCATGATGCCCCAGTACTAGACATAAACTGTCACACTTCAAACATCGTAGCGATATGACTGAAAAATTGTGAATACCATATTATATTTAAAATACTTAGTTCATACAATTATATTCAATTAGTAAATATAGGTCAAAAGTATTACGTATACAAGTAAGAGCAAGAACCATGAATTCTGAAACAGTCTGTTTTTCAGATCGTAATTAAAGAGTGAAAGCCCTGCATATGTAATTTACGTCACTATCAATTATAGCTTGGAATTAGAGAAACAGTTTTAAAAGCACACTTCAAAATGGTTACATTCTTCACTTTCTCACATTTCTAAGCGATAAATTCTATCTACCAATATAGATACTTATCTTGTTCTCTTAAAGCGCAAAAGATTTCATTGTTATGACCCTCTTTGAAATAAAATAGAATGTCTGCCGATTTAAGATATCAAATATCGCTTTTAGAAATAGTGGTTCCGTGCTAACTTCCAAAAATGTGTGATCTTTGCATACGTGTCAGCTTTCGAAGATAATTGTAGTAATCCATACAAGCATCACATAGCAGATTTAAGGTCGAATTACGCTGAGAATGAGACAAGTGGCATAGATCACATTCTGAGAGAGAGAGAGAGAGAGAGAGAGAGAGAGAGAGAGAGAGAGAGAGAGAGAGAGAGAGAGAGAGAGAGAGAGAGAGAGAGAGAGAGAGAGAGAGAGAGAGAGAGAGAGAGAGAGAGAGAGAGAGAGAGAACCAATTACTGTTCCTTTATCGGTATTTGATATTGCTAACTACAAATTTACCGGTCAAGTTACACAAAGCTATCTACAAGGAAAGCGCTAACGAAGGAATTTATTTATCACTAGGCACGAGTTCAGAAGGTTAGATTGCTCGTTATTCGTCCAACTTAACTGTCAATATTAATGAATCGGACCAGCTTCTATAATATGAATACGTATACTTAGGTTTTATATGAATCATCCGAGATAATACAATCAATGTTTCGTACAGACAATATGCTATTTTATTTTTTAAAGCTGGACTTAATCTGGTAATTTTGTTTTTCATTGTCCCTAAAAACTAACATAAACGCAAAATTCTAGAAAGGCGTGACAGACGAAGAGAGGAAAACGGTCTCATCATGCCATTATTACTGTTGTACGGTTTATAAAAAGATATAATTATTTAAGCCAAACCATCTAGGCTTTTATACCTGTAGCATTATTGACCACGATCTACCACAATCCCCACAAACTACAACATCATGCTTTCCTAATTTTGTATCAAGCGAATTACTGTTTCAATTTTATTTACATTGAGGAGTTATAACAAATCATTTTTTTTCATTTATATTGAGAACCTTTTAATTGCTAAAAACCATTTTCAATTTATACATTTAGAGGGCCATTTGGGAACATTTTCAATTTATTCATTTAGAGGGTCATTTGGGGAAATGAGAAATCTTCAAATTTTGTCCATTGGCTGTCAACAACCCCAATCGGTTACAATATTTTTCTTTATATTGTAACATAATAGTATTTTCATTGTATTTAAGTACTCAGCTAATGAATCCCATGCATTATATACGCACAAATCTCTCATAAATAATTACATAATATGGTGAATGGCTATTTGTTTCTTCATTAAATGATATATGCATAATCTACGCCGATATTAGTCTAAGCAATTTTCAGTTTGCAGGACAGAGTTAATAGTAATTTTCTTTTCTTTCAATTTTTGGAATTAGCCACTTTGTACACTGTACGTAAGTACCATGTCCCTGAACTTTAACCCTTTCATGTTCGAGCGGGACAACTTCAGTTATGCAAATCTGCCATTCAGTCATGTTAGAAAAACGATGTCAGTGGTTGACGAAAACTAATCTTGTTCATCATTATATTTTTCCCTGGCTACTCATATGTTTGTTGTACATTTGATCAAATTATATATTTTTGGTAATCTTTCCTTTGACTGTCGTATGAATATCGACAACACACTGAAAATTTGTCAAAGAAAATATGTATTTAAACAACACGACTTCAACATGCAATTGCTTTGCTTAACTTGTTCATTTCCTAATTCTCATTGAATGTTCATCTTTTGATTACCCATTACACACTTTCCGTATGCAAATATACACGACGAAAATGTTTCTTTTTGCAGTGACTTTTTACAAATCCTTAACAATATATATTGTGAGATATTTCGTAACAAATACTCTGGTGATTTAGATTTGTTCGAATTATTTTTTTAATAACCAGGTTAGTACCTTTTCCAAGGACACACCGAGACAGACTGGATAGCAATCAACTCAACCATTATATTACTGGTCTGACGGTCTACCAACCGAGTTATCGCGGCTTTCTCATCAGTATGAACTCTGTCACGTGCATTGAAGCATTTTTTATATTTTAATTTTATACATATATTATTCTTTATTATAACTCTTTTATATACGTCTAACACAACCTAATATAAGCAACAGATACCCGGGGTTATTTCCACAAGTCAGTAACAGTAAGCGTAATACCTGCTGATACCTGCATGCTCGTGAGCTATCGAAATATGTGGCGAAATAAGAACACTTTAAAATGTTTTGAAAAGGTAAACAGCAGTATGTCCTAGAATAACGTACGAAGTGAGTCGGCAATTAATTGTATAAATATTGAAATCTTCCACAAAATTGAACTCCATTGGCAGCAAACAGCTGCATTTGCAGAATAGCATTTCTTGATCACAGTGATTAATTTTACTAACAGTGTATGAAAGTCAGAAATAATTCATCAGAATTAATTCCTAACAAAATAGTTTTCTAAGGATTGTGGATAATATATTAACTAACCCTTCTCATCTCACAAACATCTTTATTGAAAACAAAGTAGCCCGATAATTTACGTTTAAATAAGTATATTTTTGGGGAAATTATCATATATTCTTCATAATTTATAATTTCTATCCGAAACAAATATTCACCTACTTTCAAGAGTGAACAATCAGTTTTTAAAACTGTATTCCCTCAACACATAGAAGGTAACTGTGAAGAGTGTGTGTTTGGAGATCAAAACTGTATACAATTATCGTTGAACAAGGAAATTCCAACCATATCGTCTATTCAGCTGTTGTCTTTGTTAGGTAGCTTCGGTGGTGCGAACCAAAATCAGTATTGATTACTCTGTCACGTGGAGTTCACAAAAACGAGACTAGTTGTCGCAGTATTGTAAGCATGCACCAAGTTCAGATGATTTTCTTGGTTTTGAACTGGGTCTCACAGTTTAACAGCACTGATAAAAATCGTCTTATAAGTAATACTGGGGCTGTAAGCGCACGTGATCTATATTTGGCTTAGCCCTTTCATCCTGTTAATTAGTAGCGTGTTGCATGCAAGAGGTAATATGTCCTTTCGTAGGTGTAAACGTTTACATCGTGCATTACAAACACTATGCTGTAAATCTCCTGGGTCATTTTAATGGCATCTTTTCTTATTGACAGTACGGGTTCAGGATCGAAATCCTGTTTTTCGTGACTGGAATGCAATTTTACCAAATATTAATCATTGTAAAAGCCCAAAACCTGTCATGTCGGGTTTCAAATTAGAGTTTATGTTTATAGGAAATGCAGATATATCCATTAACACATCCATATCTGCGATTGAAAGTAAATTCCATGAATATTTCATTTATTTGAATATTTTATGACCAAATGTCATCTTCCGCTGCCAGAATCATTTGGTTTGTTTTGACAGAAAAATTATTAAAATCGCTAGAGACGCCATATGCACTTACTTTCTATGTCGTCAGTTCTACGATTTTCATAAATAATCAGCTAAATTATATATATATATATATATATATATATATATATATATATATATATATATATATATATATATATATATATATATATATATATATATATATATATATATATATATATATATATATATATATAAAGTCTAGACATGTATTCTTGTTGTTGTTATTGTTTTTATTATAACTGCATTTTTCTGCTGTACTATTCTCTTGACGTATTTATTTTAGTTCCTCCAAGTACAGCTTTCCGAGGATATAAAGTATATTGCACATTCTATAGATGGCGTTTAGATTTTGCCATAGGAGATATTCTTCCTTTCTTCCCAGCTTGGAATTAGGTGAAAACATTTGGTTCTTAGTAATATAATATGATAATGGGTTGACGGCAGTATAATACGTGTATATAATTCTTTAAAAATTATTTCTTCGTTCATTCTTTTACTTTTTTAAAAATAAAAATCTGTTGATTTCACTCTGTTATTCAAACAAGTAACATTCAATAATAACACTGGAGTTTTATGTTAATATATTTACTTTCGTGAGTTTGGTGGCTTAGAGGTTATAGCGTCCGCCTCGGATGCGGGAGGTCGCGGGTTAGAATCCTAGCTGAGTCATACCAAAGACTTTAAAAATTATGGTACTCACAGCTGCCTCGCTTGGCGCTCAGCATCAAGAAGTTAGTGTTATGACTGGTCGGTCGGGTGTCAAGATAATGTGACTTGGTGGGACATAATGTCACATGTCTGCGGCATGATGTCCCAGTGCTAGTAATCATAATAAATTGTCACACTACCGACATCGTAACGATATGACTGAAATATTGTTAAAGCTACGTCAAAAATCTAAATCACACACACGCACACACACACACACACACACAAACACCCACACTCACACACAAAACACACACACACACAAACATACACATTTTCTTAAGTTTCTACCCCAGAATAGGTGACAAGTTGCTTGTTAAAGTTCAGTAACTATTTTTTTTTTATCAAAAAGCTTGATAATTTAACTCATGGCGAAGTCACGAGTTAAAATATGTCGTTTTGGTGCCACAAGATGAAACATCCAGTATTAATGTAGAAAAAGAAAATTCTTTTTATTATATATTAAAGCTGCCCTAGAACCGAAGTTTTGACGTTTAAACTCATTCTTTGCACAACACACTCGCTCCAATTGCCTAAATTCACATCACTTTCCTAGGCCGATCCTATAAATATATATAACTTAAGAAAGATGGGGTTATGAATTCTGGTGCAGTGTGAAGGGAAAAATGAAAGAAAACGTTGACCTATCTATAGAACGTTTTTTTTTTCCTTCATGAAGCCAGTTGATATGATGATAGAAAAGAAAAAATTGCAATGATTGGAATTAAATAATAATGAATGAGTATTCATCGACCTGTAAATTGTTATCTAATCACTTACGAAACTAACATAGAGTCCTTCGGACTTCATTTACTTTGTAATTGATTAGGAAAAATATAATAATTTAAACATCGATAATATCCAATCATAATATTTAGTCATAATATATATATATATATATATATATATATATATATATATATATATATATATATATATATATATATATATATATATATATATAATCATACAGGTTAGAGAATTTTGATTCGTACTCTACCGAGTTTCGAACCCAGGTCCAAGAGTAAATATTCGAAACTCCGTAGAGTACGAATTAAAATTCTCCTACTTGTGTGATAGTATTATTTGTATTAAATTAGTAATTCTGAGAGAGAGAGAGAGAGAGAGAGAGAGAGAGAGAGAGAGAGAGAGAGAGAGAGAGAGAGAGAGAGAGAGAGAGAGAGAGAGAGAGAGAGTTATAAATATACACCAAACATAACGGAATTTGCTATCCTTGGATTCTGTTGAAGAATGCTTGATAATAATAGACAGAACTAATGTCTTAATACAAATAATATTATCATGCAGGTTAGAGAATTTATAATTGTAACCCAGGCACGCGGGTAAACCACACCCATCGCATTGCTGGTACATACGAGCACAGTTACCCTCACGACTAAGCACACATCACTAGAAAATGATGCTACTCAGTCGGTGTGGAGACACACTCGTATGACGATCTAGTTATTATCATTTACCTACACAGTTATTCCGAATTCCTATGATATAAATCAAGATATATAGAATAAATTATAGAGAATTATAAATATACATCAAACAGAATCATAGTTGCAGATTATCTTCATTATTTAACTAGGGGCTCCATCTCGAAGTTAATATTCAAAAATTTGTATTTATCAATATCATTTTAGTGCCAAGTCAATGAAGCAAAATTATTCTTTCAGTCAATCATATTGCTTAATTATCGACAGATGTCCTTAAAATTCATTCTGTTCATTGAGTCATAAGTGGAAATAATTGTTACTTTAATCGATTATCATTATTTAGTAATCGTATACGGATGACAGATAAACGCAATTACGGCAGTTAATAAGCGCAATACAGGAAACAATATCACTTTCTTTCAAGAACTGTCTCCAAGATTCGGTGCTATGGCCAAGATAAACTGAGGACCGATCAGCTGAAAAGTAAATTGGACAATATTAATTAGCTTTGTTTTCTTTGGGATTGCGTTTACTCATTTGTGTCCTACGTAGATACAAACTAGATCGCAATTATTATACATATTCGGTAATCAATCTTTTAATTCTGTACCATTACAAAAACTTCGCAGATATGACATAACCAAATTAGTATTTATCGGTTTGAACTTCTTAAATTCCTGGAATGTGGAAGGAGATATTTCGACATTGGAAGTGAGTCTGGTTGAGCACAGATTCTCAGATTTAGAATAAAAGATAACAGTCTTCAAAGTTTTGCTGAAATGGAACATTAGATCATAAAATATAGTGCAGCTATGTGTGATAGTGATATTTTTGGGCATTTTCTAACAAAAATCATTAAAAACCGTGGTTAACAGGATTGCAGCCATCGACGCAAATCTTTTACCAATGCAGTATATATATCTGCTTTTAAGGAAACACTATTCTTTAAGAAAATAAAAGTGCATATTTTCAAACGCCAATAAAATGCTGAATATTTGTAAGTCTTGTGACAAATAGTTTCTTTCATATACTTAATTCTAGTGTAGTTGATTAAATAAAAATGAATATGAATATGTCCTTAGTGAAAAAATGTTACGAATAAACAGTAACTGTTTGAAAAATTTATGCTGGTCATTTCGGAAGTCAGAACCATAGACTATATAAATGTTTGCATAAGTTCATTTTATCTCCGAGGAGTTCATTACCTAAAGTCACTCAAAGGTTACCATACTGGGAATTTGATTCTATCAGTTCTCTTGCACTCCTTTCATAATATCCATATACTACAATCCTTTTCTTTGTGTCACTATCGTGCATACATGCGTACCGATATTCTTTATACAACTTATTACCGTTTGTAACCGTTTATAAGTCAACCCCACATGCAAACCGCACAAAGATCTACCGTCAAATAATGCTCCGGTAGATCAACGTCTATGCAATCTGTTAATATGAATGAGAACACAGAGAACAAAAGCCTTGCTTGGCTAGAAAATTATGCAACAGCAGACCATCGTCTATGTTGTCTGCTCTAGGCTATAGGGATATACAGAATATCGAATATTCTCATTATAACTTTGGATAAAACTTCATAAATCATACCACATCTTTAACTTACGTGCATCTTACATACATACATACATACATACATACATACATACATACATACATACATACATACATACATACATACATACATACATACATACATACATACATACATACATACATACATACATACATACATACATACATACATACATACATACATACTTGATTACTAACGTGTGTATTGTCAACGAGTCAGTCAACCATCCCATCAGTATTCAAGCCTGCCAGTCCACCAGTCAATGCTAGAGATAGACAGACAGACAGACGGACAGAAAGATAGACATACAGATATATGACAATCTTTCATGTTAGCAAATGTTTCTTAATATCATGTTGCATTCCACATGCTTCGTTTCCCACACAATTTTCATCAAGTACAAATCAATGTCGAGAAGAGAATAAAAAGAAAGATGAGGAAAGTTACAAGAATAAGAATTATGACCAGGACAATTACGACAATAAATTATTAGATGAAAATTATTTGAGATTAACTAACTAAACTTAAAAATTTCACTCTAGGTATTTGATTCAATAACAAAATTCTGTTAATCCGAGACGGACATATTATGCTCTTGTCTTTAATACCTACATAACGCCACAAACACCTGCTAGAAATAATTAATTTGAATGAAAAGAACAGCATCGATAGAAACAATGGCCTCCCATCACCAGATTCTGATGTTTCCATTCATTTGATATTAAGTGCACGTTCTCAAAATTAGAATGAACCTGTTGAGGGTGAAGTTTTTGGGTTTTAAATTTTGCAACTTTAGTCTTCAAATTTAAATTTTCTAAATAGTTTCTTTATTTAAATTTTCAAGAAGACACGCATTCACTTCTTTAGTTATAAAGCACAAAAGATCAAGCACAATGACAGGGATCCCAACCGATTTGTTAAATACTTTTCAAGTGAATCTGGATTGAAAGGAAATAAGGAAATATATTTCAGTATCTCAATGCCTCCGTCATTTAAGGCAGGTGTTTCTGACAGATGATTTAGAAGCTCATGGCGCCTTTCATTACACATGCTATCATCTTGAACAGATCTGACCATGCCTCCTCCGCTTCTGTTGTCCACTTGTCTCCAAGATTCGGTGCTATGGCCAAGATAAACTGAGGACCGATCAGCTGAAAAGTAAATTGGACAATATTAATTAGCTTTGTTTTCTTTGGGATTGCGTTTACTCATTTGTGTCCTACGTAGATACAAACTAGATCGCAATTATTATACATATTCGGTAATCAATCTTTTAATTCTGTACCATTACAAAAACTTCGCAGATATGACATAACCAAATTAGTATTTATCGGTTTGAACTTCTTAAATTCCTGGAATGTGGAAGGAGATATTTCGACATTGGAAGTGAGTCTGGTTGAGCACAGATTCTCAGATTTAGAATAAAAGATAACAGTCTTCAAAGTTTTGCTGAAATGGAACATTAGATCATAAAATATAGTGCAGCTATGTGTGATAGTGATATTTTTGGGCATTTTCTAACAAAAATCATTAAAAACCGTGGTTAACAGGATTGCAGCCATCGACGCAAATCTTTTACCAATGCAGTATATATATCTGCTTTTAAGGAAACACTATTCTTTAAGAAAATAAAAGTGCATATTTTCAAACGCCAATAAAATGCTGAATATTTGTAAGTCTTGTGACAAATAGTTTCTTTCATATACTTAATTCTAGTGTAGTTGATTAAATAAAAATGAATATGAATATGTCCTTAGTGAAAAAATGTTACGAATAAACAGTAACTGTTTGAAAAATTTATGCTGGTCATTTCGGAAGTCAGAACCATAGACTATATAAATGTTTGCATAAGTTCATTTTATCTCCGAGGAGTTCATTACCTAAAGTCACTCAAAGGTTACCATACTGGGAATTTGATTCTATCAGTT